ATGATGTAAACATCCAGTCTGATGATGTAAACATGATGTAAACATGATGTAAACACCCAGTCTGATGATGTAAACATGATGTAAACACCCAGTCTGATGATGTAAACATGATGTAAACATGATGTAAACACCCAGTCTGATGATGTAAACATGATGTAAACACCCAGTCTGATGATGTAAACATGATGTAAACATGATGTAAACACCCAGTCTGATGATGTAAACATGATGTAAACACACACATCTCACATTAACGATGAGGTCATTGTTTTGAAACGAGGCAGGAGGCGGTGCGACAGGCAGAGGAGCTGGAAGCCAAGCTGGAGGAGGAGCTTTGTAACGAGACCATGAAGACTCTGTGGGAGCAGTGTGTGCCCTGCCTGAAGAAAACCTGCGTTAAATTCTACTCCAGAACCTGCAGCAGCGGCTCCGGACTGGTGGGGCGTCAGGTGGGACAGGCTCACAATAAAACAAGGTTCGGTGTAAAAAAAAAAAACTTTAACGTTTCCTGTCCTGAAGCACAGCTGGAGGACGTGCTGAACAGAACCTCTCCCGTCTCCATCTGGATCAACGGGGAGCGAGTCGACACCTTGGAGCAGGAGGGGCGACGGCAGAACCAGGAGTTCAGGAACCTGGAGGACAAATACAGCGAGATGGAAGACGGCGTGGAGAACATCTTCTCAGACAGCATGAAGGTACACGAAGCTGGATGTCCTAAAGGCTCTGACTTCCTGCCCAGATTCATCGCAGGAAAAACGATGACATCACTGCTCGTTTGTCTCTCAGGTGGCGGATCACGTCCAACCTCCCGTCTTCTTCCTTCCTAAGTTCCTGGCACCGCTCTCTCGTCACAGCAGAAGCCTGCGGACGCTGTTCCACCACCCGTTCCCCGACTTCCAGAGTCTCTTCTCCCCCATGATGGAAATGAACCGGCAGGTCCTGGACTCCATGATGGACCTGGACTCTGACCCTCCCACCAATCAGGGTCAGCTTCCCTCTGACGTCATACGTCTGACCTCACTGGAAGCAAAGCTTGATTTGTGTGTTCCTGTTGCAGACGGCAGTGTGAACGAGGACGTGGTCATCACCAGGCCCTTCGGCAGCGGAAAGATGACCTGCAGGGAGATCCGGCGCAACTCGGCCGGCTGCTTCAAGTTCCGCGACGAGTGCGAGAAGTGCCGAGAAGTCCAGCATATCGGTGAGTCGCAGACTGCCCACACGTTAGACACTAACAGGAGGGAAATACACCTTTAACTAGAGACACAGCGTGAGCTGAACGCCTGCTGAAGATGAGTTTTACAGCAAAAACAAGCTTTACATCTAAAGTAGCTAAAAGCTAGCTAAAAGCTAAAGCTGGTTTAGATTTTCTAACTAAAAAACATAACCAAAGCACAGCAACTGGACTTGTTCTAAAGTTTAATCCATTTTTGCTTCACATTCTGCTAACCCGCTAATAACAGAACTAGCTCCTCATTTAGCTGATTAGCTTCTTTGCTAACTTCAAGGACAGTTAGCAAAGATTAGCTTCCTCTAAATTGACTTCCGCTAATTTTAAATCCATTAAAATATTCACATATAAAATAAAAATTTACATTTTTATGCTGTCTATCCCAAATTAAATAAAACTTACAGGCAGTGCGTGAAGCATGTAGCATCTTTAGCAGCTAAACTTCAATTTAAGAGCGTCAAAGTGAATTAAAATATTTAACAATGTTTAATTAAACACAAAAAATAATTTCTTATAAAATATGGTAGAGAAAATATTTGTTTGACTCATTTCAAATGTTATTTATAAAAACGCAAACACAATCAAAAAATTGTTTTATTCTGAAAGGGTTAAAGTGGAAGTTTAAGTCTGGTTTGGATTGGCTGATTGGCCACAGATGATCCCGCCCACCTTCACTTTAAACCAATAGAATCAAACTAACAGGTTTGCATCAAGGTTATAAAAGTTTTAATTTTTCATTATGGTTTAGTTTTATTTGGTAACTTTTTTCCTTTCATTCAGTTTTTTAATTCGTTTTTACTGTGGATTTGCTGGTTTTTATTAGTTATTTCATTTTAATGCTTAGTTTAGTTTTTATTAGTTCTAGTATTAGTTTTTTGGTACCACTTTATAATAAGTCTCCCCTTATAGAGGACTTATACATGTTTTATACATAGGTTATTAATTTATCTGTAAATACTTTATAAATGAATAAGAAGTGTTTATTAAGCATTAATTAAAGATGAGAAAGAGACAAAACTGTCCAGTTTATTGCCAGATCTGTTCATGTGACATCTAAAGCTGCTACATTAAACATTTCAGACTAACTTTCTACTTTGTAAGCACAATAATTTAAACACATATTTTACATATAATATTGTACTGTATTACTGCATTATTATTCCAGTAATTATTGTGCTTACTAGTCTGAAATGTTTAATGTAGCAGCTTTTTAAATGTAATATAACAGATCTGGCTCACTATTTGGCAAAAAAAACAGAGTTTTGTCTGTTTCTTATCTTTAATTAATGCTTAATAAACACTTCTTATTAATTTATAAAGTGTTTACAGATGAATTAATAACCATTTATAAGCCATCTATGAGGGCTGTCTTATTGTAACATGGTACCAGTTTTTTATAGTTTGTAAAAACATATTTATCAAAGCATCCTCCAGCTTGTGATGTTCCTGTCAGTTAACTAATCAACAGATATTTGGTCACTAGTTAAAGCAGTTTATTTTAGTGACACCTTCCTAAAGTATATGTGTAAATCAATTTTACCAACTAAAAACTTGGGTGATTATTTGAAGAGATCCACAAAATAAACTGACAAAAACTAAAACGAAGGATATTTTATCTATAATTTCAGTTTGTTTTGTAAAATGATTATACAGTTTTAGTTGTTTTCTCTTTTTATTACAGTTTTTATTTATTTTAGTTAACTAAAATGTTTTTTCAGTTTCAGTTTTGGTTTTTTAGTTAGTTTTAGTGAACTATAATAACCCTGGTTCAGTCCTGCTAACCTTCTTAGCGGTTAGCTTCCTGTACCTGGTACCTTTGTTCACAGGTAGGTAGGTAACCTGCTGCTTCAGGTCATTTTAAAGCTTTTGTTGTTTTTCTGGTCGTTCCTGGACAGACTGCTCCGGGAAGAGACCGCTGGAGGGTCCTCTGAAGGAGGAGCTGGAGGCGTCTCTGGCCGTGGCCGAGCGTTTCAGCCAGCAGTACAACAACATGCTGAGGAGGTTCGAGGAGCAGATGTTCAACACCTCCTCCATCCTGGACCTGCTCAACAAGCAGTTCGGCTGGGTGTCGTCTCTGGCCAACAACACCAAGGGTGACATCTTCCGGGTCAAGGCGGTACGTTACTCCAGGTGTGACCTGTTTTAATCAGAGTTCACCTGTAGGAACGTGTTTGTGTTGGTGCTGCAGGTGATGTGTAAAGACGCTGAGGACCAGCAGGACGCAGGAACCAGGGTGTCCGTTCAGCTCTTCGACTCCCCACTCATGAACTTCACCGTGCCGGGCGACGTTCCCTGGACCGACCCAAAGTTCTCCCAGGTGGTGGCTCAGGAAGCTCTGGACCGCTACAAGGAAACCAGTGTGTGAGTGGAAAACTACAGAGAACAGGTCGGATTTATAAAACTGGCGTACGCACAATTTGAGCCCAGAAACTTGCGTACGCCACTTTTTACGCCAAGGTTGTGATTTATAAAATCCAAACTTGACGTGAAAATGTGCCTCACAGCTCTGACCCATGTGTACGCTCATTTTGGAGACGGGAAACTGCGACACAGATGGTGAAGTGAGGAATTAGAGCCACACTGTGTAATGATCACTGTCAGAGATTTAATTTACCTTCAGAATCAGACTTAGATTTTTATTCAACTTTATCATCAGATTTATTAACAGTAATATTTATGTTTCTGCTGCTGCTGCCGCCGCTGCCTGACCCACAGACCCCTCCCTGACCCACAGACCCCTCCCTGACCCACAGACCCCTCCCTGACKCACAGACCCCTCCCTGACACACAGACCCCTCCCTGACACACAGACCCTTCCCCAACTAGAACAGCAGGACAGCAAAAGTCACGCTTTGGATACACGCACAGGGCGCATCCACCTCGCCAGTGTGAATGTTATAAACCTTCACGTTTAAAATCTGTGTTTGTCGCGTGTGCGTGGGGGGGCGGGGGTGTCTGCCGCGGATAACAGAGCAGGCAGGAGGGGGAGAGGACGAGGAGAAGTGAACTTATTTCTAATTTTGTCTGACTTATTTAATTTAATTTTTATTGATTTTATCGTCCTGCAGGCTCTGAGAGAAAATTAATTTGAAGCTGAGTTTTTTTATTATTTAAAATCATTAGATTACTCTAAAGCAAAATGAGTAAAATCTGTGTCAGTTCCAGACATTGTGTTCAGGTGAGCAGCTGTCAGTCAGCACCTGTCTGAACCAATCACTGATCATCTGACTGATTTAAATACATCTTAACATTCATGAGGTACTTTACATTGACTGTTTATGGTTGAGTGTGGGCGTGTAGAGGGTAGAACCTGAGGAGGACCTCGTGTTCAAACTCTGACGTGCAGCTGTGATTTATAAATGAAAGATGCTCAGAAACGTGCGTACGTACGGTTTTATAAATCTGAATTTTTTTTGGCGTACGCCATTTCRGCCTTTTGGCCGTACGTTCACTTTTAGTATGGTTTCCACACAATCCTTTATAAATGAGACCCCAGAATATTTCAGGAAGAACCTGAGAACTGGGAGCAGCTTCAGGTCAGTGAGATGATGGAGATTTTAGGACAGGGCTGTCCCAACATTTAGTCACATCAGCCAAAATCAGAAAGTCTGAAAGACTTGAAGGCCAAAAATATTATTATTCCTTTACCTGCTCAACAACAAACTAAGCATCAATTACTTTAATTAAACAGTCCGATTTATTGCTGGAAATGGATGTAAATTCATTTAGATCCAGAACTTTCAAAGTGTTTTGCAGGTTTCTCTTTTTGAAAGAAATTTTACAGTTTTCTATGTTTCAGTTGGGGAAAAAATAACCTCATTTAGTCAATTCTGATCAATAAAATCAGGATTTAGGTCACAGTTTTGTTGAAAATGTTTGCTGTGTTCAGACAAACTTAAATTAATTAAAAGCAGATTAGAGGGCAGCAAAATGAGCTTTTCAGTAGAAGTCACTAAACAGATGTGAAAAAGCTCAGTCTGGTTATTTAAAGACAAATAATTGATATTATTGCCAAGATTTTTTTATTAGAAGATTTTATTTTGTGATAAATTTACTGTAATAATAAAAAGTCTCCATCTACATCAGACAGCTGTGCCAGGGGACACATCTGTAAACAAATGAGTATAATTCTTGAACTGAAGTCAGGGGCCACACATGGCCCCCGGGCCACACTTTGGACATCAGTTTTAGGACATGGTCAGGTCCCAGGAAATAAAGCTGTCAGTTTGAAGATCACAGAAAAACACAACCGTAGCAAAACACAGAGAAAAGGTGAACCTGAACTCACCATGATGTCATTAACTGCCTCAACTACTGGGAACCAGTTTGTAACAACTGTTTGTCAAACTATTAAACTATTTCTCATCAGGGACCTGGAGGCCAAATCACATACAGGTGTTCTCTCTGAAACACTCTGTGACCTTAAAACTATTTTATTTTAGTCTAACAGATTAATTATATGTTGGTGAATTTATGTATGACTTTAACAGAAACCATCTGTCTGCATTTCCCCACAGAGTGGTCAAATAAAGCCCACCTGGACCCACCAGGACCCACAGCTTCAAAAAATGCTCCAAGTTCACCAAAACACACCTGAAACCCTTGAAGCGAACGCAGCGATCCACAGGTTCGTCCTGCTTTTACAATAAAAACCAACAGTTGAAGCTGTAAAGGTCACATTAGTCCTGCTGTTAAAGCTTCAGCTGATAAAAGTGGTCCTGATCCCACCTGATGAAGCTCCGACACACAGCTGCTTCTCCTGTAAGGAGTCTTTGTGCAGAAATGATTCATGTTTTTAGAGGAATCAGCTCATTTAAAGTTCATTTAAACCAGTCAGTGGCTTTAATGATGTGTTGTTACTGTTTTAGAGTTAATAGTGATTTAAGATTTAAACAGTAATAAATAGATTTAAAGAACCTGCTAACTGTTGTCTCGTGTCTTTGTTTTACAGTCAACACTTTTCTGTTAAATAAAACAACCTGTCCGGATTTAAGAAGTCATTTTATACATTTTTTAAACAAATAAAAAGAAGCAGAGTCTCAAAGTTTTAAAATATTGTGCCATTATTTTATTTTTGTGTAAAAATCACACAGCTGCTAGTTAAGTCTGCAGAGATTACACACATCCATGCAGTTAAAACATGTAGGATCCCACAGCCAACAGGAGCAATTAAATACAAGTTTCTTTCTGCTGTTAGTCAGCAAATTAATGCTAATTTACACGAGTCCAAAAAAACTGTGTATCATATACAATATACAACAGATGTGAGCGATAACAGCATCAACACCCATCAAGACTTCACTCTGGATGGACTGCTTCTGTCTGGATGAGGAGCAATCCTTGAAGGGTTTTAATCAGGTTTTAAATGGTTTTACTCCAGGTCTGAGACACACACACACACACACACACACACACACACACACACACACACACACACACACACACACACACACA